TAAACCCTAAACCCCAAAATCCCTCAAAGCCCTTCGGTTCTCCTCAGAGCTGTGCCATCCCTGAGTTGCCAGGCGCATCAGTGAGGGCGCCAAAGAGCTGCTCCAGACAATTTCATGGTGTAGGGTTTAGGGTTTAGGGTATATGGTTTAGAGTTTGGGGTTCAGGGTTTAGGGTTTCGGGTAGAGGGTTTAGGGCTTTTGGCCCTAGGGGCCCTTGGGGTATAGTCTGGGTAATTACGGTCTTAGTTTAATGATATGGGAGTTCCCGCCTTATTTTGGGATCCTTATAGTACGGATCCTATTATTTAGGGTACTATATTAGGGTCCCCTATTTTCGGAAACCCCCATATCTCCGTGCCGCCCGTGCTGTATGCTAAGACTCCGCTAAGGCTTTGCTGGGGGTGGGGGGACAAGGAACACTTAACCGTCAGGCGTAGCCTCCAGCAGTAGTCGTCATATCGAGCCTAATTAAGAATGATGCAGAATATGCAGTATCATGTAGTTTACCACTACGTGATATTGGTTATGGGTATTGCTATGGTATTTCATCAGAATGTCTCGATCCACAGCCTTTGTTTTGTGCTGCAAGCTTGCCCAGGGTTCCCTAGCATCACACCCTGTTTCGAGTCCCTAAATCGGAATGAAAAGAAGAGAAAGAACTGTAACATAGAAGCCTAAATAAGTACCAATATTATTCCTTAGGGTTCCCTATGATAATTACAGTAGTAAGGAGCCCAAAACCCTGTTTTAGTTATTAAGGCCCCTATGTTACACATCATAAATCTGGTCATTCTCGACCCCTTGGCCAGAACATGTTCAGATTGTTAAGGTCCTAGGGCCCTGCACTCCCTGGTCCATGAGTGCTGCCAGGAGAGTGGAGGCGTTCGTCACGGGGTCTCCTAAACTCTCTGGTGCGGAGGGCAAAAGATTCTCGGTTGTCGGAACTGCGTGCAGATTCCCAGTTGACGCCGCTCCAGCTCATTTTCCGAAATCGCGGCACCCTAAACCCTAAACTCAAATGGTACTTTTCAAGTACGGCTTGCACCCCAAACTCGAATCTTGCAGCTTTGTTTGTTGCAGCTTCGGGTCAAACCTTATCCTCGCCACACCGCAGTAGCATAGGGGCCGTAATAATGTCAACAAGGTGTTTTTCAAACGGTTCCGCTAAGGGGTACAAATTAGTATAGTCAGGCGCCATGTTCGTTTGGAAGTCTGAATGATTAGTACTCGCTGCCATGTCTCCGTATGTATGTATGTATGTATGTATGTATGTATGTATGGATGGATGGATGGATGGATGGATGCATGTATGTGTGTATGTGTACTTGTATGCATGTTTGCATGTATGCATGTATGCATGCCTGTCTGTTTGTCTGTCTGTCTGTGTGTATGTATGTATGTATGTATGTATGTATGTATGTATGTATGTATGTATGTATGTGTGTGTATGCGAGTACGCATGTGTGTATGCATGCCTATCTGTATGCATGTACATACGCACGTACGTATGTATGCACGCATGCATGCATGTATGTGTGTGTATATATATATATATGTATGTATGTACGTACGTATGTACGTACGTACGTACGTATGTATGTATGTATGTATGTATGTATTTATGTATGTATGTATGTACGTATGTTATGCAATGCAATGCAATGCAATGCAGTGCAGTGCAGTGCAATGCAATGCAAT